AAGCAGGATGCGGGAAGACGTTCACTTTTGACACTATGATTGATGAATCACGGATTGAAGGTTTATCGGTGATTGCCGTTGCATCAACAGGTATCGCAGCCACATTTTTGAGGTATGGTCGTACGGCTCATATTGCTTTCTCATTACTTCTCAAAGGACTACGTGCTAATTCGGTGGCCGGAGTAGATGCATCGTCTGATAAAGCGAAGATGCTCCGGGATGTTGAAGTCATAATCTGGAATGAGATTTCCATGCAGACTAGGTATGCCGTGGAATAGTGTTGATAAGTTGCTGAGAGATGTGGCTGCACCAGCAAATAGAAAGCTTCCTTTTGGTGGTGTTGTAATGGTGTTTGGAGGGGACTGGTGTTAGTTCCTTCCTGTTGTGCCCGGAGGAACCAAAAGGTACACAATCAACGTGACTTTGAAGTCAAGTGAACTCTGGCGTTCTATGCAGATTCATGTGCTCGATAAAAACATGCGACTCGTACCCGGTGAGGAGGAATATGCAACATGGTTACAGGATCTTGGAGAAGAAAGCCTTTACCGCTGACGGCGTTGACATTGAAATTCCCGTCGACATGTGTATGGAAATTGAGAACGAAGTTATTCAGTGGATGGACACTCCTGAAGTTATCTCTTCGCCTAATCTTATGGGCAACATGGCACTACTGACAGTACATATGTGATGCGATAGAACTAAACGAGATGGTGTTGAATAGACGCCAGGGGAATGTGTAGAACTGTATGGTGTGGATAACCCAGCGCGTGAGGGCAAAGGTCTTCTGTGTATGCCCTGTGACGACGAGGAATTCATCCATCACTTGACTCCACCTAGTATGCCTCAGTATAAGCTGAGACTAAAGTGTGGGGCTATAGTGATGTTACCTCGCAATATCGATGTGGAACAACATATGTGCAACGGAACGCGCTTTGAAGTTCTGGAATTCGTTTGCGATAATCGAGCTTCGTTGCAGAAATCTGTTAACTGGAGAAATAAATCACATCACCAGAATGCCATTGGACTACGCAGATGA